CTTTAAACTTTTCTCAAAAGATTGAACTCTTGTCAATCCTTGTAGTGATGCAAACAACTATACTTTTACAATATATAGTGAAGAGAGATATTTTACACTTGGGTGTTGAGTGAGGCATTGTTGATTTTAAAATTCAAGCCATGTCCTCCACTTTGAGATGATGTAAATTCTATTTTCTCGTAATTGTGGGTAGTAGGTATGTTTTCCACACGGATAATGACGATGATGTTTTATCTCATAAAATTGACCAACACATTTGTGTTTTAAAATTTTTAAAAGAGGAACTACGTGTACCATGATCCCCTATTGCACGAAAAGGTGGTATGTAGGCACTAAAGGTTCGCAATCGCGGCGGGTGCAAAATTCATAAAAAATATATTTCTTTTCTCACCTCCACCATCCATTTTTTATACAATATTTTTATAGCCAAAATATACAGATTTTTCAAAGAGGTTCCTACGGAGTACCGTAGATGTTTAGGGTTCTAATACATTCCTTTTGCATAACCAAACCCCTTACCTTGAATCTTTCCCCCTCTTTTTGGGTTACTCGCTCTTTTCCCATTCCTTTGGAAACAATAAAGCGCAGTGGCAACTTTTATTTTGATTTGTATAAGTCTAGTCAATCCAATGGCTTAGTCTTAAACATTTCTACTGCTACAGTATCTCGACCCAATTATTCTTTGTTTTGGTGCCTTAGATGGGCTATTAATCGAGTGTAATGTTCTCTGACCTTCAATCGTAACCGAGTTAATACATGATTCTGTTTATCTTATATCTACACGGTCAATATACCCATTATGTCCTCTTCTCTGATGTCTTTATGACCTGATTTAACATTAATATTTTTAGGATGTACAGATATGATAACTCTTTATTTTGAAATCATTCTATTATAATTGGAAGTATGATACTAAAGGTTTAAGTTGCAATATTTTATTTTTTAATTAAGATCGATATCGCTGCAATGATACCCTAAGTGAAGGTGAGTGTGCGGTGACAGGTGTTGTATGACGTTGATATTTTTCTTCTGCGTGTTATGTTAAATTTTGTTTTATTAAAGGATTGTCATTGGCGGAACCTTAAAATATCGTGTAATTAGTAATATATAAGTTTTGGGGTTTAGGGTGTTACACTTGGCGCCTCTTTTGTCACTGATAAGAACAGAACATGCTAGGGAAACCTCATCATCGCCACATCTCTCAAACATCTCAGAATTTATGTCCTCATATGTAATCAACATAATAGTTTGACATATCTACAACACATCAACAACATGGTCATCCCTAGCTTGCTCATTCTCCAAAATATCCTCATGTGCAGGCTTAGGTGGACGTCCATGAGCATCTGGTGTCATAACAGGGTGTGACACAATATAGAACCAAGTCATGTAATCATTCACATAAGACCACTGACTTTTAGCTAACATACTCTGATACTCCTCATCTACCAGATGGCTCTCATAAACTAATTGTATATCATTAAGATGTTTGTAGATGATGCTATTAGGATTAGCCTCAAAGGGGGGGGGGGGGGGTCTCGAAATGATCTGCAAAAATCCAAACAGAAGCATGCATTACTCTGGAATATACCCACACATCAAATTCCCCCCACATGCAAGCCATTAAGAGTAACAAGAAATATGGTCAAAGTAAACAATGTCTCTGTGAGTGGTGTATGGTGTCCATTCGATGTCATTATGCTTAGTCTTATCAATATACACACGGAATGTCCACACAACATTATTCCCTTTGCGCAGGCAACACATGCAAGCACATGGCCAGTCTTTAGTATACCCTAGCACACGATCAAACTCGTGTATGCTATGAAAGTGGGATATGATCCATCCTTGAAAATTAATAAGAAAAAAATTAATATTAAGTGTAAAAAATTGCTTTGGAAATTAATAGTGGCTACAGAAATTACCGCCAACAGGGTGCAAGAGCCTGTTATTTGGTTTGTCGTATAAAGAGAACCTTCGCTCATCTTGTATTACAAGTATACAAAACAGGTGGTCCCCCAGTTCCACTCATGAATGGCCGACAAATTGATGAAGTAATTAAGGTATGCCACATCAACGTAGGTTGCACTTGTCCACAAACATAGACGTGCCAACCAAGAATAAGAAAAAACATCTCAAATCACTTTCCCGATGGTAGGTAAGTTGTAAATCATCATCATCGACATCACTGACCAACTCCAAGTTTTGTTCATATAGCTCTTTCAAGTATGAAAATTTGGCATGAGCAACCTTGATGTTCTCACACGGCATCATGGCATCCATTGGTTCAGCTCCCAAATAAATGACTATCATCTCATGGGCCTCATCGTGTTTGATCCTAGAATGATCAAATAACTTCTCCCTGATAGAAAGGTGTAGAAGACAAGCGAAATCATCTAGTGTAATCGTTATCTCGTCAATGGAAAAATAGAAAGATGATGTTTCTTTATGTCATATCTAAGCAAAAGTCTCTTGCATGCCATGGCTCCTAGTCTTGTACCCAAAAGAACATAGGCCGGTAATATCAGAGTATCATATGACACTTTGGAATCAATCATCCTTAGGGTGATAAAGCTTTAGAATCTTTCTGTTGTGGTTAATAGACCTCAAACAATCGTGCTTCTGTTAAAAAGAAAATATAACAATATCAGTAGTAGGGAATTAGTTTAAAACATAAAAATAACAACTGTTAAAAAATATACATTTTCGAGTCAAACATGCCCAACAACATGATCTCTATAGTATATCAGTAAAAAGGTGTCAATGGGCCCTTCTGAATAAGCGTATGCAAGTGGGTGGACATCATCATGTGCAATAGGAGCTTCCTCCTAGTCTACGTGAGCAGGGGAGACATGCCCCTGGAATATGGACCCCTATGACAGAAGGCTCTTAGAAATCGATGCTTCCCCGTCAAGAGGTCTAGGGGTAGTTCCCCGCCTAGCTCTAGTCTACTCATTCTGAAGTCTAGCTCTCTTACATCGAACAGGCGCGTGTTGGATTTCACGACTAAGTCTCATTCGGTCATCGTTGTTTGTAATTATTTTCCTAGAAAAAAATGAAGAAAAAAAAAGACATCAGTTTGCATCCAAGTAATTTTTGGATATGCATCTCCGAAAACTAGAAAGGACGCAATTCGGAGATGCATCTCTGAATTAGCTCGTGTTTGCTTCGGTGGCAGAAACAGATACCAGTATTTCCCTAACAATCCATCATGCAACCAAATTATAGTGCATGTCTCTAACAGCTGTCTATTTTGAATGTTACTACTACATAATGCATTTAAAACAAACTATTTTACCTAATACATTAATCAAAACTCAAAATAAGTTAAATGTGAAACTTACTCAAAAAAAATATTGATGAGGATGTAAAATGTTGATTGTAGTAGGTGGAGTAAGTTGGGATTGAAAAGACTGAAGTAGAGGTACTGATGTTCTTTGAAATATTCACTGGAAGAATGTTACTCACGAACTCCAATGGAGTTCTCAAAAATTTCAGAAAATGAAGGAGAAGATGGAGGGCCTGGCACGCGTCATATATCAATTGAACGCGTTTGTAGATGTATCTTTAAGAAAAAACTGATTTTAAAAACAAGAGTCAATTCGGAGATGCATCTGTGGACAAACATTAAACCATGTATGAAGATGCATCTCCTAATCAAATTTTGACAAAGTGAGAAGAGCTCAATAATTTATGTTTATTATGTGAAAATGGTACGTCCAGAAATAGATCTCAGAAAACTTGAGGCACTTTTGAATTTTTGTCAAGGGTTAAGAACCTATAAGGATGAAGAAAAAAATTCTCAAATTTTCCTAAATAAATAGGACCAATCGGGCTCATTCATATATGTGGGCTTATTAGCTGATCTGCTCAGCCCAGTTGACATCTCTAATAACATAGTGATACTGAAATTTTAATATTACACTTGTTTTATCTCATTCAAAACAGTGCAAAAAAAACTTCCATACGAGAGATTAAATGTTTGCCTCCATGATGCATGTTTGGATATCATAAGATACACTCTAGATATTTTGATAAAAACTTTCCTCATAGTTTCAATTAGATCATAATATCATCTTAATTTTGTCAAATTTCCTTCTAATTCACCCAACTTGACAAATCGTTGTATCATTCGTAAAAGAGATTCCAAAACAAGATGGTTGATATTCAATTATTCACACTCCAAATTAGCAATTTTGATGGACAATATTGCCTCTAAGCAAAGTAAGAATATCATTCAAATCTATCCTAAACATATTCATCACTCATAGCCAATATCCCCTAAAGAATCGGTGCCATTATATATCCAACTTTGTTCTAAAGCACTTATGATGTATTAGAGAAGGTAAGAGTGTATAGCCCCACTTAAGATGTGGTATACTTTTTGACATGTATTTTCATTTATTTTGTTTATAACATAGTGGTGCCTACTTAGATGCAAATACACACTACACGTCATATACTTAATGTCTGTCTGATTTCATATCTCATTGAAGCATTTTTTTTATTAGCTACAAACAATAAAAATTAAATGGGATGATTTAAAGTTGATTTGACTAAAATGTCAAAGTAGCCAAGTTCATGCCAAATTATGAACCTAAAATGTTCACTTATGGTAACAAAATCCGAAATTTGCATATTAAATTTTTTTATTTATTTATTTTGCTGGACCCAACTAAAAGTAACTACTAACGGTTGTTTTTAGGTAATTCATAAAATAAATAAAATATAGAAACAAACCAAAAGCATCCCTTTCATTTTTTTCTTATCGAGACAATTTTTAAGTTTGTTTCTATAAAATAAATAAAAAACAAAAGAGTAAAAAAGAAACAGAAAAAGACCACTCTAGCATTGGAGTTTGCACTATATGCAACGCCAAATTTTAATAAATGAGATAATAAATATTTTCGCTTTTTCCATATTTCAGTATCCTATGCCAAAAAATTACAGTTCCAAACAATTTTCCGTTACCGTCAACTTTAACGGTTCGAAAAATTCATCTACCTATCAACTTCTTCAACGTTGATATCTCCGTCACCGTTACCCTCACCGGCAACAGGTTGCCCCGCCTCATCTAACCACCTCTCAACCGGCGCACACTCCGCCTTGTGTCGAAACTTCCAATCAAGCGCTTGACAAGCGCGTGAGCAATAATTCACCACACCGCAAACCGAACACCTTCGAAACTCGTGCTTCCTGGTCTCTGGCCGGCCACAACCCGTATTCGAACAGAGCATCATTCCCTGACCCGGAAACCCGCCCCGCATTTCAAACCACTCCGTCAAAAACCGGTTCGCAGCGTGAGCTTCCTGAACCGGAACATTACATCCAAAATCACTCAGCAAAGGACAACCTGAACCAGAAACAACACGAATCTGAGGTGGCTGATTTTGAACCGGGTTAACACTCCACCTCATTAACGGATGTTTACTGTTGCCGTTAGATAAAACGGCAGCAAGCTCACGGGCGTTAGCTTGGACCAGAAACCGCCGTCCCTCTATAACATTCTGCTTAACGCCGTAACCGTCTTGTAAACAATGACCAAGCTCACGTAACCCATCGATATGACCAAGGAATGCAGCGCGTGCACATAAAGCCACACCAGCGCGTAAATCCTTGTCGTTTTTCGTTCCACCGCTTCCGTTAAACTGAATCACAGCTAATGAGTAAAGCGACGGCGCGTGAGATTTCATTGCTGCCTTTGCCATCATCGAAGCGCCGCTTCCTCTGTTTTGCAAACAGTAAAACCGAATCTGCACCCACAGAAATATAGTAAAAAAACAACACTTGTTATGAAAAATAAACTCAGACAAAAAAGTTGAATTTTTTTGGGCTGTCACCATTCCGAGAGTGTAACACGCTTCAATGTTTCCAGCATCGGCACAACGTTTGAGGAAGCGGTGAGCTGAGTCGCACCAATTTTTAGCTTTCACTGATAATGTTTTGTTGGAAGCTTTCGACAAAACAAGAGAGTTAAGACCTAAAGCGTTTAGTCTCTTGCACCTGTTTAGTGTTAGAAAATCAGCTACCTCAAAACAAAAGCAAAAAGAAACCGTTTTTGTGTTAAGTTAGTAACTTACGTGATTAGAACACTGATGAAATCGGAGGGAGAGGTTGCGGTGGAGCTGAGTTTACCGAGGATAGACAGGACAATATCATCGGGTAAAAAGTCAAAGAAGTCAGAACCGCCGGTGGTGTTTTCCGGCATTCTCTTCTGTCGTTTGTGGGTGTTTGAAGACATGTTTGGAAGTGGAAGCGTTTGAGGATAACAGAAGCCTCTTCTTGTTCGCATAATAGAGAACAGAAACACTTGTGAAGTTAGATAAAGAAGGGTAAAAGGAGAGGGAGGAGTTATATATGAGAGGTAATGAATCAGAATCTCGAGAAAAAATAAAAAACATTGAAAAGGAGAATAGTTAATTACAAAAATGGCCCTGGTTTTGTCGTTATTTTTAGTCTTACTGCGTTGACCTAGATCCGGTCCATTTTCGTCCGTAAGTTAATGCACTCGATTGCTTTCCTTTTTTTTTTATTTGTACTGCACAATCCTTCTCCCTTGTCTGCACGCTTTTCAACAGTCTTTTTTTTCACCTTTTCTCTTTCTATTTAAAATATGTCATAAATATAAATTTTCCTAAAGAAAATAAGATACGCACAATCCTCTTTGAAATCATTTTATTGGACGACTAATCACTAACGTATATTTTGCTAAATTATGTTTTTAATTGAAAATTATTTTAATTATTTTTTATTAAATGACTTTTTTAAAACTAATTTTATTATAAGTGTATGTATAAGAAATTTTAATTTTTATTCTGTACTAATTAACATATTGATAAATATTAAAATAGATATTGAATTTTGAATTTAATAAATACATATTAATATTATAAAATAATTTTACAATATTAATCTATCATCAATTCGATCATATTCGATCATATTGATTGAATGATCATAAATTATATATTTTTTTAGTTTTTTTTAAATTTTTAATATAAATTAATTAAATTTTTATTCATATTAATTTACTTATTTTTTAATTTTAAATATAATGACCGTTGAATCATTAAAAAATATATATTTAATTTATATTTTGAATAAAATTAATTACTTCGGTTTCATTTTGACTCAATTGTCTTTTTTATTTAAAATAGAGAAATATATTCAATTATATGTCTTATTTCAATTTTTTAATTAAATATATGCGTTTTATAATTATTTTATATAAAATTAAAAGGTATAATATTTATTATAGTCAAAATTGATTGAATAAATTTATATATATAAAAAAAAAATACGATGCCACCGATTATTATAAAGTTGAAAACAATTACCAAAACAACTTTAAATATTTCCACAGATTACTCTGATGAAATATTTATAATTTTGAAAATTCCTAAATCATTGTCAACAAAATATTTACAATAAAAAATTATATACTTTTGAAATATTTGTAAACAAGATCTATTCAAGATAATTTATTAATATATGTGTATAATAATCATAATCATAATTTTCACAATATAGAATATTTGTATTAAAACACATTATATAATTTTGTCTAAATTATAATATATTTAAATATTTTAGTTAATATATCAAAGTAGTTTGTTCTCTCTTTACCATTATCCATGTACATTTCTATAAATTTCAAACATTATATGCGTATTCTAGATGCCTATTTATGAATATCTTTTAATTATATGATACAATATTTTTAAAAGTAAAAAACTAATATATCAAATATATTTTAGAATAAATGGATTTTTAGCCTATTTTTTGTCATTTTTATTAAAATAGTTTGCCAAAGATTTGAAAAATAAATAAAAGAATATTTTAAACATTCTATTTAAAAAAAATATTTTCAACAATTATTTTTCCTTATTATAGTTAAATGTGTTAGAATTAATTTATATCTAAGAATATCTTTTAGATTATTTATATCTTTGTTAGAAGATATATGACTTAGATCTTCTTATATCTTTGTTAGAAGATATATTTTAGATTTAGTTTTTGTGTATAAATAGTCTAGTGGAGTAGGTTATTGTAATTCATTCTAAATCCTTATTTGAAACTGTCAGTAAATATATTTCTTTGCCTTTTATCTCTTCCTTGTGCATCAATAATTTGTATCTAGAGCTCTTGGTTAGAAATTTTGAAATTTGGAGAAATTCTGGGATTTGGAAAACAATGAGTTTCTGCGTAAATTGCACAAGGTAGAAGATGAACGAAAACGACGGCGATATTCATTCCAAGCTTCCAGTATTTGATGGCAAAAACTGGAATCGTTGGAAGATCCAGATGCGCGTGTTATTTGGTGCTCAAGATGTGTTAGATCTTGTCACCGATGGCTATGATATGTTAGAAGCATATGCAACAGAGGCCCAGAAGATAGCACATAAGGTGTTGAGGAAGAAAGATCAGAAGACGTTATTTTACATCCATCAATGTGTGGATGCGAATGTGTTTGAGAAGATTGTTGATTCTGAAACAGCGAAGACTGCATGGGACACACTGGTCAGATGTTACGGTGGTTACGCATCATAGAAGAAGGTGAAGCTTCAGTCTCTCATAAAGCAATATGAGAATCTCAACATAAAGGACAACGAGAAGGTTTCTAAATACATCTCTAGAGCAATTATGACCACTAATGAGATGAAAGCTTGTGGAGAAACTTTGTCTGAACAAGTAATTATTGAGAAGATCTTGAAATCTTTAACTTCTCAGTTTGATTACATTGTGGTAGCAATTGAACATTCTAAAGATCTAAGCACCATGAGAGTTGAAGAGTTGCAAAGTAGTCTAGAGACGCATGAGTTACGTATGACTGCAAGAACTTGAGAGGGAAGTAGATCATTAGGCTCTGAAGGTAACTTCTGGTAAGAAGCATCAGAAGCAGACTTGGTCAGAAGTCAGGAAGAAAACTGATGATGGTCAAAGGTAAGAAGCTTCAAACTCTGATAGGCAAAAGAATGTCCAGAAGGGAAAGGAGAAGTCTGACAAGAAGAATGTTCAGTGTTACTGTGGCAAGAACTTTGATCCTTATGCCAGAGATTGCTGGTCCAACAAAGAAAAGAAATTAGAAGAAGCAAATATAGCAAGAGGAGAGTCTGATGATGAACCTGTGCTATTGTTGGCTTCTGAACATGATGATCTGAATTTATCAGAATGGTGGTATATGGACATGGGGTGTTCAAACCATCTTATTGGAAACAATAAGTGGTTGGTTGAATTTGACTCTGGGAAGAGTACAAAGATCAAATGTGTTGATGATAAATACCTTAATACAGAAGGTATGGGAAATTTCATAATCATTCTAAACAATGGGAAAGCAGCAGTAATCCAGAATGTATGGTATGTAACTGGCATGAAAAAAAATCTGATGAGTGTGGGACAACTGGTTGAGAAAGGTTTTTCAGTTACCATGAAAGACAACCTTCTAAAGCTGTATGATTGTAATCAGAAGCTGATTATTGAGTCAGAACAGAGAAGGAATAGAATATTCAAGGTGAATGTTAGAATTACAGACTTTGAATGTCTTAGTGCAACAAGTGTTGTCAAGGAGAGTGAGTTGTGGCACAAAAGATTTGGTCATCTAAATTTCAGAAGTTTAGGACATCTGAAATCAAAGAATCTGGTACATGGAATTCCTACAATCAAGAAGCCTAAAAAGTCATGCAAGGTGTGCATGGAAGGGAAGCAACCAAGATTACCATTTGCATCAGAAGTAGTTCCAAGAGAAAAACATGCCTTGGGAGTAGTGCATTCTGATGTGTGTCGTCCTTTTCCAGTAGCATCAACTGGAGGGAATAAATATTTTGTGTCATTTGTTGATGAGTTCAATCTCTCATAAAGTTCAAACATGAGGTGTTTGCTGAATTCAAGAAGTTCAGACTTAAGGTTGAGAATCAGAGTGGCCAGACTCTGAAGATTCTTAGAACTGATGGTGGTGGTGAGTATAACTCCACAGAATTCAGAAGTTTCTGTGAGGATAATGGAATTGAACATGAGGTTATTACTCCCTATACTCCTCAACACAATGGTCTTGCTGAAAGAAGAAATTGTACTTTGCTTGATATGGTGAGAAGCATGTGGAAAGAGAAGAAGCTTCCTCATACTCTGTAGGGAGAAGCTGTTGCAACTGCATGTTATGTGCTCAACAGATGTCCAACGAAGAAATTGAAAGAAATAGTTCCTATTCAGAAGTGGACTGGAGATAATCAAAATGTTAATCATCTGAAGGTGCTTGATTATGTATGTAATAAACATGTCCCAAAAGCCAGAAGACAGAAGTTGGATGATATAAGTGATGTGATGTTGTTGGTGGGGTACCATACTACAGGTTCGTACAAACTTTATTGTCTAGAAACTAACAAAGTTGAGTTCATAAGAGACGTCATTGTAGAGGAATCAGAAGTTTGGAATTGGGAAAAGTCTCGTCCTGACTCTGATGAGAGAACTTCTGAAGAAAAGTCATAAATACATGTTTTTGAAGCTGGTAAAGACTCTGACTCTGAAGAAGATACAAAAGGAGAAGATGATTATGACTCTAACTCCGATGGTGATCCAGACTCTGAAGACATTCAAGGTTCTAGAGAAAGTCCAATTTCTGAAGCAAGTGCTTCTGAAGGGGAAAGTTCTGGTGTCCAAAATTCTGAAGATCCAGTTCAGAGACAACAAAGAGTCAGAAGTATTCCAAGAAGATTTGCAGAGTTTGACATGTTGCGTGACACTGAAGTAGAATCTGAAGGAGAAGTTATTCAATGTGCAATGTTATTAGACGTTGAACACATGAGTACGAAAGAGGATCTTAAGTGGTAAGTCTGGTTGCAGGCCATGAAAGAAGAACTTGATGCTATAGAGAGAAACAAGACTTGGAAGCTGACTGAACTTCCAAAAGGCAAGAAAGACATCAGTGTTAGATGGGTTTTCAAGCAGAAGCTAAATCCAGATGGATCAATTGGCAAACACAAAGAGAGATTAGTAGCAAGATGCTTTCTACAGAAGCCTGGGCTGGATTACTTTGAAGTGTTTGCACCTGTAGCGAGACATGAAACAATCAGACTAGTGATTGCAATAGCTGTTAACATGAATTGGCCTCTGATGCATTTAGATGTAAAATATGCATTTCTGAATGGTCCATTGCAAGAAGAGGTATACGTATCACAACCTCTTGGATTTGAGAAAAATAATCAGTAAGGGATGGTGTTCAAATTACACAAAGCCTTGTATGGATTGAAGCAAGCACCTGAAGCTTGGAATTTGAAGATTGATTCATTTTTCAAGGAA